TTACTTAGCACACAGGTACTGAATTAACAATAAGATGGTTTGTCTCTTACCCTGATCATATAAAAAAAGGTTGTGGTGGGGGGTAAGTGAGAATCCCAACATAATATATATCTTGCTCTGTGTTAGAGCAGGTATGATCCATTCAGCAGCACTTTTGCTACTTTTGAAAAATAATTTGTGGTGTAAGAACATCTATTGATGCTGGCAAATTCTTTTAATGTCATCTACAGATGTGTAATCTGTGCCTAGTATTTGTATTGAAATTATGCTTTACAGGCAAAATTTTAACATCATTAGGACTGTTAATAATTCCTTTTCATGCTGTGTGCTTGCATATATGTGTACCCTCTCACTGCCTCCTCCCTGAATTCATTTGGAAAATGAAAATAAGTTATTTGGAATTATAGGAAATTAAAGGCTAAAAGAATTATTAATGTAGGAGCCATGTGAAAGAGAATATAGATGCATCTGTAAAATGTGCATCAACTCAATACTATGAAGCAAGTCATTAAAACCTAAGTTGAACTGCTTTTCAAGAAAACTAATATAGAATTCTTGAATAATGTACTTGAAATTAAGTTAATATGATTTTGCCATAACCTAATTATTTAACATCAACATCTGTCAAGTAGGTGAAATTCTTTAGAGCATATATAAATATTTCGTATAGCTTCTGAAGAGAAATTATAGGTCTAAAAATTATTAAATGCTTAATCATATCTAGTCTTTGGATTTCAAACAGCATAATGAATAGATAATTTCTTAGAAATGCAATTGCACGTATTTTCTGTCATCAAGTACATGTTTTACCTGTGGACCAACTATTCATTCAGTTTTGCATTTATAAATTTTGTTCACCTCTGGTACAGATTTTTGGCAATTTAACTGCTTTTGATGGCTAATGATTATGCACTTAGCAAATAGCAACTGTTTAGCTTCAATGTCATTTTCTAAATGCCATGAAGACAATTTATTGTTTAATACTGAACAGTTAAATATCTTTTAAGCTTTGATAGATGTCTCTTTAGACTGGCTAAAGCAAGCAAAAATGAATGTTATAACCCAGCGAAAATTCATTTTATGCAGAAATTTTACATGTAAATTATTTTTACAGAGAAGTAAATAGTCAGAAATAACTGGCTTTAAATGTATGTTCTGATAGAGAATTTTATATTTTACAGATGAGCTCAGTGAAAATGTTGCAGCCGCGTCTCAATGGCATTCTTTTCAAGCTCACATTTGAAGAACATGTAAACAACATTAAACCAAGCATCATAGCAGTAACCCTTGCATGTGAAGAATTGAAGAAAAGTGAAAGCTTTTACAAACTTTTAGAGTTAGTTCTTTTGGTTGGAAACTACATGAACTCAGGATCAAGAAATGCCCAGTCTTTTGGTTTTAAGATCAACTTCCTTTGTAAGGTAAGGTGACATTTTGTGATGCTAATTTATGAAAATAATCTCATCTATGAGAGGGTCACACTAAATAACATAGCACTATAGTAGCTAAATTGAAAAAGTATGTAACTTTAAAAGAATGAATTATATGGTATTTGCTTTATATCTTAATTTTTAGAAATATTGCAGTGATAACCAAAAGACTATGTCAGTCCTTCATAGTTTAATTCTAAACTCTTACTAATCAAATATACCTGGAGTTTCTAGATTTAAAAGAAATAGTTTTATAAAATGGAAGAAATCTTATATTTCAGATCCTTTGTACTTACTGTACATCTCTCAGAAAGTATTTGAGCTGCTAAGTCTAGTTAGGTAAATAGTGAGAAATTCAAATGCTTTACTTATTCTCTCTAAGATAACAATATATGCTATTGTTGAATAATATTATGTTACTAAGCTAACACTATGTATCTAGCACATTAAAATTAAAAAAATAATGTGATAGTCATTTTATTTTTCATTCAGCTATTTCACGGTTACTTTTACGATTTAATTTTTGCAAAAAGTAAACAAAATACATGATCACATATGTCCATTACTAAGATAGAGCAAACCACCTTATTCAAGGAAAATGTCTGTTACAGTGAGAAATCTGAAAAGACTGCGGTGAAGGCCTGTAAGAAAACTAGAGACAAAAATAAATGAAACACAAGCAATCTGTCTGTGACATCTCACCACTCTTTCACTTTTTTTACTCTTAGATCTAAAAACATAGGCGAACTTCAGATAGTTCTTGAAATGTACTATAAAGATAATCCGAGATCAAAGAGTGGATGTGAACTTACTTTCTCTTCGTGCATTAAATAGATGTATATTAAATGCACTGGACTAGTATTTTATTTAGTATATTTCAAGCAATATTTGTTCCTGTTTTTTTCTCACCCAGAATGATATAAAGAATAACATTTGTAGATAATAAGATATAAAAGAGAATTGTTGAGTATCTGTTTATTCCTGATTGATTTTCAAATGGTGTAAGGAACAAAAGCAAGGAAGATCAGCTGAAATGCTAGATTTTGTCCAAAAAACCGTATTTTTATATTCTCCTTTTTAGATATTCAGGGACATGTGAAGTTCTGTGATAAAGGCAGAGCAAATAAGGTATTGCTGGTAATAAGGTGGCATAAACCATACCAGGATTTGGAAAATAAAACCAAATATTGAGGGCATTTTTGTTAGCAAATACTATAGTCCAACACTCACAAAGTCATTTCTTACCAAAATGCTCCCTGTTTAGACTTTATGCTACATGAGTAAAGTTTTCTTGGTTTATGATTATAAAGAAATTCAAAATTAAAAGAAAATATCTTTAGAAATGTAGGTCTTATACTCTTTCACATATATTTGAAGTAAGCCATTTAAAACCATCTTAATTTGAATAAATGTATCTTTTGTGTGTTATTTCATGCTTCAATTTAATTACATGAAATAAGTTATTTGAAGCAAGAATACGTCATTCAATCATAGAGCAAAAGATTATATTAATCTCACAGAAGGATTTTATAGTTACATCTTCTATTTTTGAGAAAGGCTTCTTCCTGTCATCTACCTGTCAAATAAAAGTTCTTCCACACAACACTGATCTGACATCTATCACTAGAGGTATGCTCAAAGGATTCAGCACAAAGATTTTTGCCAGCTTCAAATAAAAGAAAGTAAAAAAAAATCTTGCGGGAAATACTATCATGTAGTAGTAGGTATTCTAAAAGAGAAAGAAGTGAATCTTTAAAACATCCCCCATACTTCTCAGGATTCTCATCTTCAGGGAAATACTTCTCATTAAGAAACGGGGATATCATATATATGCATGGTAGTTGCATTAAATCTAGGATTAAAGCATGTTCTTGGAATAGAATGGATTCTGAGTTGATTTAAGTGTCTATAAAGTGAGAGAAGTTTACTGAGCACATAGAAATAGTTAGCCTAGGTTTATAATCTACTGGTAACTGAATTAACTGACCACTGGTATCTACTTAGTTGGAATTGCAGTTTATACCAGTTTTACTATAAAATATACTTGGTTGATTTTCTTAGTGAATTTTTCTTCCTTAAACAGTGCAGAGGGAACTTTCCTTGTAGAGTATTGATTATGCTTTTAAAATGATATCACTGATGCACCTAAATTTTTCTAATTATAATTTCCATTCTAAGTGAATTTAAGGCTGTAATCCATGGCTTTTCACAAGAATCTACAGAGTATGAGAAAATGTTCACCTAGTTGAAAGGGAACCATCATATTATATAAGTAGTTAAATTTAACAGATATTTCGTATAGTAAAGTAATATTGAAAATTCAGATGGTCACAATTTGCCCCTATAATATTTGGGAAGAAAAGTAAAACAGTTGGGTAAATCTAAATTCCACCTATCACTAAAAGGCACCATTACTATAAGATTCACCCACACCACAAAATGCTTTCATAGTATGCAGCAGTGAACTATTACTCTGAGTCATCAAAGATAGGATAGGTTTTGAACTGTGATAAAAAGTTATTTCCAGTGTTATTTTGTGCTTTGCCTTCTTGTTGATTATTAAATTTCTAGCCAATAGCAACAGTATACTTCATGGTAAATTGTTGGTATTGTTTTCCACATATAATAACATATATGATCTACATAAGAACAAAATATTTAAAGATACTGAGCACTTCCTAAACCCTAGGATTTGGGGGTATAGCAGATATAAAGACCTTTGTTTGCAAGCAACAGAAGGTGACTCTGTTTAACTTACGTCAAAAACAGAATAAATTTGTTGGAAGGATATAAAATGGTTTGGCCCAAACCAGTAATGGCTGGACATCTTGTCCTTTAAATGAACAGTAACTGTGGCAACTTACAGAATATAGGTACAGGAGTAAATGGAAAGTCTTGTTAGGATGCTCTCTTTGGTGCATATTAGCTGTGAATATTTTCCTGCTCCATTCCCCTGTTTTTGATTCTAATTATAATTGTTGTCTGATTGACATAGTGTAGATAAGAAAAAAAAAACCCTTGTCCAAAGATTGTAAAGAGCCTTGACTGATGGTACTAAGACTATGTCAGTGGAAGATCAGTCACTGTAGACCAAAGATAAAGATACCAAAATTAGGGGCCAATGATAGAAGGTAACTGGCAGGCTCAAACAAAGGCAAAACACAACAGGAAGGTATTTACCTCAGGGGCACAGACTGAAAAGGAACCACATAGAAACCTTAAGAAGCTAATGTTATAGTTACATAGCCAGGAAATGCATGTACAGACTGTTATATAATGCCACAAAGTACAAAAAAATTAATGACCATTAGTATTACATTTGGATTAACATGACTTCATAAGAGGGAGAAATCTTAGGTGATGGGAATGGGAGTGGGCAATACTGGAAAATTAGAGCAAAAGGATCTTGAAATAAGTAAGGAAAAATGGCCTTGTTTAAGAAAGTAAAATTTGGAAGTATGTTATTTAGGAAAAAAAAATCTAAGCCCTAATTAAATAGTCCTATCCTTACTCTAAATATTTTACTACGTCAATTTTTAGCTGAAATGATTTGAATTAAGACAGAGCAACTGCTTAAGAAAATGCTGGTTTATCTCCCTCATATAAGAATGCTAATCCAATGAGGACCCAACCTTTATGACCTTTATGACCTAATTGAACCTTAATCAGTACCTCCTTAAAAGGCTGATCAACAAATACAGAACCTTGGGGTTAGACCTTAAGCATGGGGATTGGGGAGGGAGGCACACAATTCAGTTTGTGATGGTCAGTTCATTAAGCTGGATAGAATGACCACCTTCCCTGGTTTGCCCAGGTCTGAAGTATTCCCAGGATGTAGGTAATTTGGGTGCTAAAATCGGGACAGTGCCAATAAGGTACATTGTTGGTCACTTCAGTTATGGAACTAGACATGTCATTTCCTTCTAATTTCTCCCTCTCGCACACAACATGTTTAAGTGAAACAGTGTCTTCTGCCTTCTATATAGTTTCCTCTATCAAGCTTCTCCATCTAATTTTTGCCCTTCATTTCTTCTCTGGTTTCCACTACACATATTAAGAAAAATTATTATAGAACTGTCAACACTTTAGTATAATTATTTTATCTATCTCTTTCACAAAAGCCAGAGTGTGTGGAGTTTGTGTGCAGGTTTGATTCTACATATATTCCCAATATGTATTGTAAATGTTGAATGAAAGCCAAAAAATTTGATTAAATAAAGGAATTGTTAGTCATGTTCAGCCTATGTGTTAACTTTTTTTTTCTATGTGTTAACTTTTGAAAGAGAAAATTTAGTTCCCTACAGATATAAATGGCATATTTCTACCAGCAAAAGCATAGAATATGTAATTGTAACATTTTACTATGATTTATTTGTAAAGATATAAAAACACATTATTTGCATAAATATAAACTACCAATCCATCCTCAAATATGGGTTAATAAATAAATATGGGACTATTATTTAAAGCCAAAGATATTTTAGAAAATAACCACTACAGTGTGTACTAAAAAGCACTCTAAGAAATATCAGAAATCTTGTTCAATATTCCACATATTTGGTTGCCTGCCTTTTTATTAGTAGTATTTTCCTTGTGATTCAGGGTAGTTAATTATGATGATGGCCTTTTTTAAATCAGAAATCTGAAGTCCACTGGGGTTGTGTAATTTTTCCAAGATTAAAATACTACCAAATATCCATGTTGGGCTTAAATTTATGTTTCCTGCATCTAAAACCTTGCTCACACTTAGACATGTAAAAGAAGGTTTAATTGTAGTGACTCATGTCAAGGAAGCATACTAGAATTAACTTTGCCACTTTACAGAGGTCTGAAAATGGGGGAACCGCATGATTTTTATTGACTCTGATATAAAAATTACCTTTTTTTAAAATTCAAATTTATTTCAAAGTGATTGTAGGTATATTAATAGAAAATTTCTCTTTCTTTAGTAGATTTTAAAGTATCCAGGAATTAGTGTCTATGTATTTGTA